TTTTAACTTTTGAGGCCATGTATGATTCGGCCTTAAGGGACATCCCTGGGAAAGCGGTCAATCCTAAACTAAATGGCATGAGGGCAAAGGGAAGATCATCTAGTATTACACCACCGTTGTATATTCACTGCCGGCAACTCACATCGCTCTGCATGAAAAGTGAATTGAGTGTGAATATATTGCAAGAATTGAGAGGGTCAAACATGCTCTTTTTGAGGGATTAGAGATGTTTTTTGGGCCGGTGTAATTAGATGAGTCTGGGGTATATGAGACGCTATTTCTGTTCTTTTTGGGTTGATATCTCTATGTTGACTAATTTTGAGTTTCTAGTATAGAGCTCCCACATGTAGGTGTTCTCAGCAGTCGCACGGTGCATTGGCTAGTATGAGATTGTTCTTTTTTGGAGAGATTGAGATAGAGATGTGGCAGTGTCATGCTAACTCATGTGCGAGTGGGAGATGTTAGAAATGGGCGCCCATGTGGCATGACCATTTCAATGCTTTGAATTTATAACTATAACTCCTGCATTAATGGGGTTTGTAACTCCTGCCTTTATTGCAGAGGTTAATGGTGCATTAATGACCAGCCATAAAGGCTGGAGGATTTTCTTCTCTCCCCTATACATGTATAAATTGAGACCCTCCTGTCAAGTCTAAAACACACAGAAATTTCCCATATTCTGACTCTCTCCCAAAAACAATGATCAAAGCCATTTGCACTGTGATTTGTGTGGGTGATATTCACTGTTGTAATATTACTCCACTGCTGGGTTGACTGATCAGATTTAGGAAGCACGTCACCCACGAGATCTTTTCTATTCAGACTCTGCAGGAAAGGTATGACCATAATTTTTATTCCGCTACGTTATACTGCTTATTTACAAACCCAAACAACATTCTTTAGTATAAAAATAAATAAATAAAAAAAAAAGGCTAACCACAAAATAAAAAATAAAAAATCACAACTATTTCACACACTAATACAGATGCTTAAATAAATAAAACTAGAACTAAGTCCCAAAAAAGTGTATTTAACATTCAAATGAAAATTAGGACCAATTATTATTTATTAAACTTTAAAAGTCTAAACCAATTATGCTGTGCTCTCGTATCAAAATCCCTTTTGAATTTCAATACAAATAATGTATATCAAGCCAAACAAGCAGGCATAAGTCCTTGCACTGATCCATTCTATTGGCCCAGCTCAGCACAATTTACTGGAGATGCTTAATTTTTTTTTTTTTATTATTATTATTATTATTTAGTTTAGAAAGAGAAATGTTTTGTATCTACTTTTTTTATTACTATTTTGTATCAACGTTTACATAATTGATTAAAAGAGTAAAACAATAGTGACGTATAACTGTCTTTGTTTAAAAAAAATTTGTGCAAGAAAATAATTTAAATAAATTTTAAAAAAATAATCATTTAAAATTTAAAAAAGCGAGGGTTATTAACTTGCACTCTACTATTATTTATTTATTTATTTAAAAAAAAAAAAAAAACAGTATGAAACGAGCCAATCCTGGGGGACTGTTGTAAAAACACCAGCACAGACAAAGCATATTCTGCTCTGAAATCTCGCTCACCTCACGCACTCTCAATAATAGTCTGTCTAACAACAACCATTGCAGTTTCTATCTATACGATTCGTCCAGTTGATTACCCCTCTCTCTCTCTCTCTCTCTCTCTCTCTCTCTAATACGGTGCAATGGGGAGAAAAGTCTAAGAGTACTCACTACAGTCACCGCCGGTAGCACCAAAATCATCGTCGTTGAAGTCAGTTATCCTCGTCCTCTCAGTCTCAGTGATCAAATTTGAGCCTCCAAAGTAGCCGCAACCGTGAGCTGCGGCTGCGGCTGCTGTGGCTGTGTCAGCGCTGTCACCCCCGGCGGCTCCCAGTGTCAAAAACTTGCGCCGCTTCCTGGACCTCGTCTTCTGTTTAAGCTTCGGTTTCGATGACTCAGCTTCAGCGTCGGTGTTGTGTACGACCAGGTCGTAGTTCACCGAATTTAGGGTTTGGATGGAAGTGACGCAGCATTCTTGCCATTTGAGGTCCGCCAGGTCTTTGATCGCCTCCTCCAGAGTCATATGCGCGCATGAAGACACGTTTTCTTCGTTTAGTGTTGAGCGACTCGGATCCATCAGCTCCATTGAGTTCACTGCATCGATCAGAACTTTCTGCGATTTCCATAACACAACAAAATTGCCAAAATTCAAAGCTGGATATTGGACTCACAAAAGAAGATAAATGTTCCAATTAATTCCTTGTTTCTCTCACCTTTGCAGTGTTGTGGATTTTCTTGAATCCGTGCATGTCGATGATCTGTGAACACAACACACAGCATCATATATCAAAATCAAAATCAAAATCAATAATAAAAGAAACCCCAAGTATTGAGCAGAAATGCAATTACAACTAGTTGTACAATGACTGAATCGCTTCCTGAGAATGAAATTGAAACTCCGCGATTGATGAGAAGTCGAAGCTAAAACTAAAATTAGTCCAAATTTAGAAATTTGTGAACAATTTCCCCAAACCAAACCTTGAATTCATGGTGATATATACATGTTTGTGTGTGTGTGTATATATATATATAGAGAGAGAGAGAGACACCTGATTGAGAAGGTTAACGGTGAGATGGAGTTGCATTCTGGCATTTGGTTTCGCAGTTTGGAATTCCATGGCACTGCTTCTCTGGGGTTTTCGCGGTGCCGCCAAAGAGCTTTTCACTGAATTTGTTCCCTTTCTGCAAATGAATGTGCAGATATTATTTAAAAAAAAAGAAAAAAAGAAAAAAAAGTGCAGATATTATAATTGGAGAAATTCTAATATGCATACTCGCATGTATCATGTGTATCCTGCTTAGAACGCCATTAACGTTGAGTTTTTTTACTTTCATCAGATTTAAATTTTATTAAAAAAAACAAAAAAAGTTGTTTTAGTATTTCAATTATAATATCAAATTGAGAATGCCTTAAATTTTTCATAAAATTAAAAATGTCTGAAACATTTCATCAGGCCGTTAGCTTTGCAGGTAGCCGTAGAAATTACAAGAACACCGGATGACGACTAGTAACGCCTGACTTTCGAAGGCCTAAGAAAACAAAACAAGATTGGACTAATAACCTTGGTTCTTATGCTGAATCACTTTTTCATTAGTTATCAAAAGTCCATTCACAACATGTGCATAAATCAAATGAAAACAAACACACACACTTCTTACATTATTATCTTTCTATTTGAAGTCCAAACAACAAAAAGAGAAGTACATCATCCCCAACCTAACTATACAAAGTCAAAATTGAAAAAGAAAATTATTGTCTGAACGTTACAACTTTCAAAAAGACAAAAGAAAAGCAAAGACTTCTAGTGCGACTCCTTCTCCTGACCGTGTTCTTCATCTTCACCTACATACATATAGGGAAAAGGATGAGCCATTGCCCAGTGAATAGTAATAAAGTAAAGCAGTGAATGAATGAATACCGACAAACTTTTAAACATAACATCAAATAATAGTTTGAACGTAGCTTTAGCTTGAGACATTGCATAACTTGACTTGCAAATATTTACATAATGATGAACATATCAATGATTACAAGGTGTTTAATTGGCGTGGGTATCGGCTAAATGTCTGACTTGAAGGTGACAAAGTGAGCTTGGCCATCAAGACAAGTGTGACAATCCTGCCACATATAATATTTTATATTTGGTTAATTAAGGAGATTTGAAATTTTGATTAGTCGTTATCCTAATTTAATTTGAAATTTATGAGAATTGTGGAATTAGATTTGTATATGATTCTGTTAAAGATTTATTTTGGAATTAGAAATTAAGAGTTCAAATGGCTTAAGGAAGTGAAATTAAGAAGTTGAATCAACTTAATTTTAATTACGGACCCATTTGGGAGTTTAATTAAATTTTCATTTCAGTTTAGTAAAATTGAGATTCGATTAAATTGGGTCCGAATTGGAGTTAATAAAGTTAATTAAATTATGAGAATTGAGAATTGTGATTATTACGAATTAAATTTATTTATGGGATGTGTAATTTGAATATGCAATTTATTGATGGAAATTTGAAGTCTGATTAGAAATTGAAGGCCTAAATGGTTTGAGAAATCAAAATTAATAATGGAAATATGTTTAATTTAATATTTGGAACTTTTTTGGAGTTTGATTAAAAATCTGATTCAGACTAATAAATTTAAGGGCAAATTACATATACACCCCTCCAGGTTTGGTTAAATTACAGATACCCCCCTGAGGTTTCGGAAATTACATCCCGCCCCCTGAGGTTTGTATTTTCATAACAATTTACCCCCTGAGGTTTATATTTCATAACAAATTACCCCCTAATTTCTTATGCAAATATAGCATTCAGGGGGGAATTCGTAATTTCTCAAACCTCAGGGGGGTATCTGTAATTTTGTCAAACCTGGAGGGGTGTATATGTAATTTGCCCTAAATTTAAATATAATTAATTGGGTTATAAAAGAAGTCAAATTAGATTAATTAAATTAAGTGAGATTTGTACTTAGTCATGATTAATTGGGTTAGGGTTTTACATGACTAATTAAAATTAAAAAATGGTTAATTAAGCTAATTATAATTAAAGTTCAATCTCAAATTAAATATTCTAAGCAAGATTAATTAGTTAAAGAAATAATTAATACACCACCTCGTGGGTTTATATAATAAGGGCAAGTGCCCCACTAAATGAAAAGAATAAAATAATAAAAGAGAGATGAGTGAATGAACTCAATAAGGCCTTGTTCACTCTCACTACAAGAATTTACACATTTGCTGACCACTTTTACCGATCAAAAAATTTTTGGTCGCAAAAAAATGACATTTGGCGACCAAATATTAATTAGTCGTGAATGATCAATATTTTTGGCGACCAAATATGAGTTGGTCACAGAAGGTCACATTTTGGCGACCAAAAATGAGTTAGTCGCAGAAATTGGTATGTTTTTCGCGACCAACTACAAATTTGGTCGCGGAAGGTTACAATTTGGCGACCAAAAAAATTTAGTCGCCAAATTTGTACTTTTAGCGACTAATATTTTAGTCGCCGTTGATTGAGATTTAGCGACTAAAAAAATTTGTTGCCGAAGGTACCTTTTTTGCGACTAATGTGGTGTTTTGGTCGCCAAAAGTGTTTGGGAGGGAAATTTCAAACAGGGAGGGGGGAAATGAAATTTTTTGGCGACAAAAAAAATTTGGTCGCCAAATTAAAAACGACGTCGTTTTGTACCTGGAAAACAAAAAAAAAAAAATTAAAAAAAGGCCCTGATCTCCTCTGTCTCCAACTCTCCCTCTCTCTGTGTTCTCTCTCTCAATCGGCTTTCAACTGCTCAAGAATTGCAGCCAATTCCAGTCCAGAATCCAACATTTCTTCCTCAATCTTCTCTCTCGTCTCCTGATCCTCGGCCCTGGCTAGACGAGTACACCACACAATCTTCAATCGGTTCTGCAACAAACACTTAACAAGGTTGAAATTATCGAATTGGAGATGGCCTAAAAGCTCTGTCTCAACTTTAAGATCATCATGATCAAAACCATTCTGTTCTTCTTCCTCGTCAAACACAACAGTAAAACCCACATTATCATCAATCATAACATTGTCTTCTTTTTCTTGGAAATCAGTGATTAGGTTCCCAAAGGAAACCATCTGATCGAAAACATGATTCGACATAGGGTTCAACAATTTCTCAATCTCCTCCCTCTTGTTGGGGTTATTGTTCTTCAAAACACCCAAAACCTCATCAGCGGCGGCGTCGACTGTTTCGGGAGGCTGACCACCGCCCAATTGCTGCTGTACGAGGCTAAGCATGGCCTCATAGGGAACCCTAGTTTTCTTCGTCTTGGGCTCGTAAAAAAAGGCCCAAATTTGATTCTACTGATTATGGCTCTGCAATAATACCATGGGTTTCCTAGTCTTTTCCTTCTAAATTCTACCATGCGTGTATGCTATCATGGTTCTTGGACCCTTGGTTCTCTTGTTTCTTTCTACGATGATGTTACTGGTAAGGCCTTACCCTGGAACTTTTCAGGTCATTGTTTAAAGGAAACTCACTTGAAGATCTTACATTTTTTTCCTGAAGATGTTGATTTCATTTATCCATAAGAACTTGCAGTATTTTGTTCTTTGCATTATTTGTATCAAATTACTGAAGAAATTTCTCAAGCGATATCTAATGAAAACAAGGTCACTTTTTTAGGCCCTAAGACTGAGCCATTGAATGGAACATACTTGGAAAGAACTGGACAGTTATCTGATGATGGAAAAAACAACCACCCCGAGCAGGAAAGTTGCCCATTCTCATGGGCTAGATCTCCAGAGAATTTGCTTCAGCAGGAGACATATTTGGCCTTGGCCACTGCATTCGTGCTTTTGAGGTTGCTCTATTTCCTTTTACCAACTCTGTCTGCATGTACTCGATTGGTTTGGAGACTGTACATCCCGAATATGAAGTTAAAGAGCTTGTGGGAACATAGTTGGAGGAACAGGGTTCACTACTTTGGGCATAATTAGGCGTGTGGATGCGAAGAATGTCACTATTCTTGATCAGTCTCCGCATCAGCTTGCGAAAGCAAAGCAGAAAGAGGCATTAAAGGAATGCAAAATTGTCGAAGGAGACGCGGAGGATCTCCCATTCGGTACTGATTATGCCGATAGATATGTATCTGCTGGGAGGTATGTAGTGCCCTGCTCAATCCTTTTTATTTGATTTTTTTGTGTCTTTTATTTTATTCATTTCACGTGCAGTATGATTTTGTGGTTTCAGTTACTGTTCTTGAGCTTGGTTTGATTCATGTTGGTTTATTTGAGTTAGTTTATAGGAGATTTCATTGAATCCATTTGGAATTGAATTAGTCTAAACATTCTACTGTTTTGTGGTGTATATATTGTGAAATGGAAATATTAGACATCATGCAATGTGTGTTGTGCAAATGTATTGGGTTTTTATACATGGCCAAAATATAAGGGCATTTAAGAGTTTATAAAGGAGCAAATCTTTTATTCCAATGTATAATTGGATGAACTTAGAAGTGTAAACAGAAATAACATTGTATGCCAACTTTAGTCCCCATTAGATGGGAATGTGAGAGGGGTAGATTGGATACTAATAACAAGGTAGATTTGCAAAATGAAATTGATTAGTCCTTTATGTCCAATATGAAAATGAATTAGAGAGAGGAAGAGGGATTTTACTTCCTTAGTGGTCTCTCTTACAAGAATTTCATGTTTGCATTTTCTCAGTATAGAATATTGGCCAGACCCACAACGTGGCATCAAGGAAGCCTACAGGGTGTTGAAACTTGGAGGGAATTTTCGTTAATTTTAGTATTCGTACGTATAGGATCTTCCATGTGAATAATGGGTGTTCTCTTCTTTTTTTAATTTTATAATATGATGAGGAATGTTGGACTGAATTTCTAGGCAGCCCCGTTTCTCTCAATCTGAGCCCTAATTTCAATGTCATCTTATGAATTAATTTGAGCAGGGTTTTTAATAACAATGAACTCAGTGGCAAGATTCCTTCAACGCTAGGACTACTGCAGACTTTGGAGATATTGTGAGTATCTCTGTCACATACCCAATTAAAATCATAATAAGATGCTAGTTGTGAATACCCATTAAATTTTTTGAATTGAGTATACAGTGTTGGCAATGGATTTTCCTGGATATGGACTCATTGGTGGCCCTATCCTAATTTCAATCTCGTTGTTTTTCGTTCTTGTAGTGACATGCCTGTTAACAAAGCACATACTTTTATGTACCATTGAGTGTAGTTAATCCTAATATGATCTATGTTTGTGCATTTATATCACTGATCTATAGACCTTATTCAAGTACCCAATAAAATAAGAAAGTCTAAATACATAGAGAATCAAACACATAATAAACACAAAAATATCTCACAAATTTACAAATGTCTCACAAAAGCAGAAAGTCTATGTTTAGTTTTCTACATTTCTAACATTGCTCTAATTAAATTACTGCGCTGGACTTTGGCAAAACAGTTGACATCACATGAAGAATGTGTTCCTATAATTCTTTTTCTCTTACATGAGCATTCACTTAGAATCTTTTTCTTCTAGTGACTTTTTATTTTCCCCAGTTGCCAAGATCACATCTGAGGCAGGTGCACAATGAATTTCACGAAAATGCCTTGCAGGTATGGACTATGAAACTATGAAGAAGCCTATATGTTGATATTATAAACATGATTCTAAAATGTGTACTAAATTAAATTTCAAATTCACATGAAACTAACAAACTGAAAAGAAAAAGACATGATCTTGGTTTGTTTTAGAGTTTTTGTCTGATTTGAGTATATACAGATGGCAGGAATTTCTATTGTGGGTCGAAATTATTATGGTGTGTTCCCGTTGAGAGGTACATTGCTTAATGTGAGGGAAACAAGCCATAAACAGATCATGGAGAACGCTGAAATCACGAGCATCAAGCAGATTCTTGGACTTCAGCATGGAAAACAGTATGACAGTGTGAAGACTTTGAGATATGGTCATTTGATGATCATGACTGATCAGGTTTAAAACATTTAACTTCTTGTTTTGTTTTTTCTTTTGGTTTTATCTATATGCAATGGACAATGGTGAAATTTTATATGTTACAAAAATCTGTTTAGAATGTTTAGAATCTGTTACCAAAAATCTGTTACTAAAATGTGGGACCTCTAGTGATGTTTAGAATATCTCATGTCATTTCTTTATGTTAGTAGCTTTAGGGGAATTGAGTTCTATCCTTTTTTGTATTTTTTTTTCATGATCTTGTCAATTGACCTTGCTTCGGGTCTTTGTCATTTTTGTAAAGCTATGGTTATAATTTTTGCATCATATTTGTTTTTAGTATGATCTACCGTTGTTGATTGTGTTATCCTTTGCATTAGATGGTTTCTCCTAATGCTAATTGCCTGTATGTGGTTGAAGCATCTATGGCACATAGATCATCAGATGAATCCTTAGTCTATGCTATATGATTTTTTTTCACTAGCACTTTATTTACCTTCAATGGCATCTGTTACAGCTGAAAATATTTGAAGGATTGGCCTTTCCTCCCCTTTACTTCTACAATGGAGGAGTTAAAGAGTTCCTTGCTACAATAAAGCAACATGTTTTTATTGCGAGGTAGGTTGTTTTTAATTTTAATTGTTATTTTCAACTTGAAATCCTTTGATTGTGAGTAATGAGCATAGTTGAAGATAGAATAAATTTGTTTTTTGGACTAAAATATATATTTTTTGTTAAATATTAGGCAATTAAAACTTTATCTACCCTGTTAAAGTTGGTTTCTCAAATAATTATCTATAATTAGAGATTAGTAAGTTGTTAGTTGTTAATTATTGGAGGGTTTGTTGAATCATGTACCTATAAAATATAATATGGTGCATAATTTGGATTCAAATAAAAAAAATCAATCTTCACCGAGAGGTTGTCCCGGGAGCAAATATATAATGGAGCTTTAATTTTTGTTTATTATAGGTCATCAGATGTAATTTTGCCTATCACTATAAAAAAAAAAAGGGAAAACTACAAATCAGTGCATGTGATAAAAATAATTTACAATATCTGGTAGTGCAACTCTTTCTGTGTAAAAAACACAGCAAATGTTACATCCCAAGAAGATTCTCACCATTTTAGCAAGTATTTGCCACACTTCCCACTGAATTGTAATCTCCCCTAGAAAAAATGGTGGAAATAAGGAAAAGCAAAGGAAAATGAGAAAAGTTCTTTAGAATCTGTTGAGATCCCATGCATGTTGTTTAACATAAATATGGCACTAGCGTTGAAATTCCAAAAATATATTTACTCCAACAGTCAGATCCGCTGTTGAGTGTGGTTCAATTCTTATTCCAATCTCTTCTAGTAAAGTGATGTTGACTGTTATTTTTGCATATTGCAGTCTGTCCCTCCTAAATGCTAGAGTTTTAGTTTGGTTGCTTACCTTTTTAATAATCCTTTGTTGGCATCCTTGGATTGCATTCACAGATTTTCTTTTCTTTCTTTGATAAACTAGATTAGAATCTTGGTTGTAATTCAAGTTACAGATTCCTTAATAGAGTCCTCTTGTTCTGTGCCTGTTGGTGCAAGTAATGCAAGTAATATGATACTGTGATGTCCTGTGGTGCCCTATAGTATTACTAATGTTATGCATTTTGTAGTTACGGATAATATGTATGAGACCATGTTAGTTTTAAATGTTTTTGAAATGTCTTTTTTAGGCTCCATATTGCCTCATACACTATATTAACCATTTCCCCCTTTAATTCCTTAGATAAATTCTTCTTGACGATTGCTAAGAGTGTTTTTTTTATTAATTGAGGTTGGTCTTTGAGCAGCATGAACTGACCTATCTCATCCATCTAAAAGAAATGAAAATGAAAAAACGTAGAAAATGCTATTGCTCTATTCTCTCTCATACAAAGTTTTAAAACGCATTATTGAGGCTTGCCTTGAGGCTTTATTTTTAGGCGACACTCCTCAAAGGCTTGTGCATATGGAGATCTTGATCTTGGATTGTTGTTAAACTTAGTCTAATACATTATTTAAACATAAAAAGAACTCCTTTTGTAACTATATTCATGAGAAAAATCAAGTAAATTATTGACCAAGAAAAAACACAAAGCTAAGGCTTGAAAACTGAAGCTAAGAATGTTGATTTCACGTGTAAAGAGTGCAAGCTTCCTTCTCTGGAGTGAAATGTTTGATGCTTTGAGAGAAAATGTATTTGCACTTTTATATTTAATTTACAATATTTTAACATATTTTAGTTGTTTACTAAATATAAAAATTCAAAATGTTTACGCCTTGAGGCTTATACCTTGCGTCACAAGGGGTAAAGTGCCTAGCATAATGCATTCACCGTTAAAAACTTTGTGTGAATATCATCAAATTGTATTATCTATTTGTTTATCCTTTAAGTAAATTTATTGGTTTTGTGACTACTGTCTCCTCAGGTACTTGGCTGATGAAACTGCTATCTTACTGCTTTACTCATTAGTGCATGGGAACTCAAATTTTCTGGAGTATGTCTTGGTGCGAACAGATTTGGAAACACTGGTATGGAGTGGCAGCTATCATTTCCATCTTATTTGTATTTAGTTAGCCCACCTATTGTTGTGTGGTAACCTTGGCAAGAGATAAAACAAAATTTTTAGAAAAAAAAGAAAAAAAGAACAATGGTTATTACTTGTCAGATAAGTGATGTTATGGACACAATTTACAAATTTTGTGTACAACAGTAACTAAAAAATCTTATGAGCAGTCATCATTTTTAGTAGTTTACGTAACATAAATGCCACATATCCTAATTTGATTTGCATTATGCAATGAAATCAACAGTTGATGCCCATGCTGGAAACACTATATAATGCTTCAAAAGGGACATCCAATCAAATCTACATGGTGCTAATTATTTTGCTAGTACTCAGTCAAGATTCTTCTTTCAATGCCAGTATTCACAAGCTGGTGAGTACTGCCTCTGTAGGCTATCATTTAACTGGATTATATAAAGATCATATTAACATCTTATTTATTTGAACAGATGCTGCCAAGTGTTCCATGGTACCAAGAACGCCTGCTCCATCAAACTTCTCTTGGTTCCTTGATGATCATAATTCTGATAAGGACTGTGAATTACAACCTATCTAAGCTACGGGTATGGCTTGGTGCCCATGTCTGCTGATTATTTATATTTAAATACTTTGTTATGTGTTCTCTTGGTATTGCTGTGATAGATTCCTTGTTTCAGTTCAGAAATTGAGATCGATTTGTATGACCCATGAAAAGAAGATTGTCTCATACGTGCTTGTTGTCAAAATTTGTCAATGCTTACAGTATGAATTTTTGGAGATTTGTTGAGATCTTAAAATTACAGATCTCTTTTGAAGGGTGCAACATCCCCAGCTTCGTCACATTAAAAATACAGTCTAAATGATGGCAAGAGATAAATGAACTTTTTCCATAGGATATGGAGCCTCAGTTCTTAGCATCTTTAGGGCCATTCAATATATTTATGGATTTGTCTATATTTATATGGTCAATAGACATTGTAACATTCAGAAAATACATTGGAAAGTAAGTTTTTACCAAACATTTGTAAATACACTGGAAAGTAAGTCTTTACCCTGCATATTGGATATATTGATGGATGTGTTGAGATGTAGGTAAGTATCTGAAACAGTTGCTTTTACAGAGGCTTTCCTACTGTAGTGTTTGACATATTTAATTGATGCAGGATATTTACCTCCACACAAACTGTCTTGCAATTTTGGCCAACATGGCACCCCATGTCCACCGTTTGAGTGCATATGCATCACAGAGACTCGTTAGCCTCTTTGATATGCTCTCACGCAAGTATGTCTCTTATTGTTTCCATAGAGCAGTCTGATCTATTTTCTTACGTGGAATACTTGATAACTTTGATAGAATCTTTACTTTTATGGGATTTTGATTTGGTCATCTTTTTAAAACGTTGTGTGTTAGGTACACTAAATTAGCAGAGCTAAAAAATGATAAGATGCATATAGGGAATGGTGAATCAAGAGGAGACAGCCTTCTAGAAAAGATGGTTGTCACCATAATCAATACCTTTAGCTTCATTACTATTTAGATCTTATCTTACATTTCCAAATTATTTTTCTTCTAAATCAACATATATATTTCTTGCAGTCAACAGAATTGCATATTTATACTGATTTCCTGAGGATTGTTCTAGAAATATTAAATGCAATACTGACTTACGCTCTTTCACGTAACCCTGAGGTATCATCATCATTATCACTGAGACCATATGCATCTGGATTTGGTTACCCCACCCCTCTCCTCTCATATTGTGGGTAATTTTCATTGCATTGGAGCAGGTTGTATATGCGATTATGCACAGGCAGGAGGTCTTTTAGCCTTTCAGGAACTATCCTCGCTTTAATGAGCTGCTTGAGAACATTTTTACTGTATGTGCTTGAGAACATTCTTATTGTAGGTTGTATATCCGTCTTTTTTCCTTTATTTTCTTCCCGCATAATCTTTAATGTTTGTAGGTCTTAGATTTTTTCAATAGCCGCATGGATGCCCAAAGAATGAATGGTGAATGGTCAGTGGAGAAAGTCCTCGAAGTCATAATCATCAATTGTCGTTCTTGGCGTGGTGAAGGCATGAAGGTACAAAGCAAATGGTTGTTTTAGTAGGTTTATCCAATAGTGGGATCCTTTTTTATGTTTTTTTTTTATCCAATTAATAGATGTTTACTCAATTACGTTTTACATATGAACAAGAGAGCCATCCTGAGGAGTTCTTTATTCCTTATGTGTGGCAGCTAGTTATATCTCGCAGGTATGTTTCCTGCACTTGATGCACTTTTTTTTGTAGGATCTATGCTTCTGCCTTAAAAGATGTTATAAAAATATATAAAATGTAACGAAGTGCATTTTACATTTTAAAGTTAGTACCTGTTTTTTTCTCACTTTAGAACATTATTTTTCTGTTGAAAAGACGGAAATAAAGATATGCATGCTGTGGATGGATTAGTTTTTTTTGTGTTGCTGTCTGTAATTTCTAGCATGATGCACTTATTTGTAGATTTTAGTTGATTAAGAATAGCTTTGATTGAATTTTTAAGCATGATTGGGTCTATTAACTAAATATTAGCAACTGAATGGAGCCATCTTGAATATCGTTATTTATTCAACCATTCATATTTGCATACCACTAAGACACTAATTTCTTTTTCTTGTCACATTCCCTTTCTGCAGCTCATTCAGTTTTAATCCCAGTAGCCTAAGGCCAAGTTTGGGAAGACTAAAAAAGTGCACTTTTTGTCTTTTTGGACTAAAAAATTGAGGTTGAAAATATGGATGTTTGGGTTAACTTTTTGACTTTTTATTGAAAAATGTGTAATAAAAAAATGAAAAAATTGATTCGTAGGGACCTATTTAAATTAAAATCACTTTTCAAAATAAGCAAAATTCAAAATTTTATCCTAAAAATCAACTTTTGGTGAATAGTGTTAACTTTTTAGCTTTTTGAGTAACTTTTTGGCTTTTTGGCTTTTTTGGATCTTCCCAAACTTGCCCTAAATCTGTTTCCAGTTGATCTGCCTGTAAAAGTAAGTATATTGTTTCCTCAAATGTTTAAAGATGTCAATCATGAATTCAAGAATTTGCTTTTCTTTTATTTTCTTTTTTATTTTTTTTTTGGCTTCATTGATTTTTATGGGCCTGATTGATTGTCATGACCCGAACCCGCCCCTATGGGTTAAGGACATAACCGGCCAGTAATCCTGAGATTACCTACGGCCTCAGACCAAAACAGACGTAACTCGTCAGAGTAAAGGGGCCAAACGGAAGCAATAATTAAAACTTTGTCCATAGAGCCGTGCTTATATGCACATCAAACAAACCATACTCAGATACGTTAATAACCCACATCAAAAGTACAGTTTCACAAAATTCATTACAGACAGGATCATCCAAAACGAGTCAACCTATATCAGACTATGTACAGACATACACTAGGCCCTTGCCAACAAAACAAAACATAAGTACATACTAAAAGGGCAAGGATGGCCTCATGTGTGAGGCACAAGGCTGACTCTCCCAAAACTCGTGTTGTTCCTAGCAGGCTTCACTGGGGCTGGGTTTGTGCTTCTCTTGGCTCACCTACAAACACATGAATGAGCGTGAGCGATAGCCTAGTGAATAATATCAAACATGACAGTTACATAACAATATATAGAACAACATGCTCCAAACGGCCTTGGGCCCAATTCATCCTTCTATTTAACGAATATATATATATATATATAACTATACAAAGTTCAAATCAAGTAACTGTAATTCTAAACATTCTGGCCTTTGGCCCATTCGGGTTTCCATTCATGGCAAAACGGCCTTCGGCCCATTCACTTATGTCTAAACGGCCTTTGGCCCATTCATTTCTGTCCAAGTGGCCTTCGGCCCGTTCATTCATGTCAAAACGGCCTTTGGCCCACTCTTTCATGTCAAAACGGCCTTCGGCCCACTCATTCATTTATGTCAAAACGACCTTTGGTCCATTCATTTACATCAAAACGACCTTTGGTCCATTCATTCTTATCAAAACGACCTTTGGTCCATTCATTTACATCAAAACGACCTTTGGTCCATTCATTCTTATCAAAACGACCTTTGGTCCATTCATTTATTCTTGTCAGACTTTTGTCCACAATCCCAATTAACAACTCATAAAGTTTATAAGGGAATAACAATTGGACATTGACAAGCTTTCAATATTGATATTACTCACAGTAATCGGCTTGCGGATTTGCCCTGGAGCTTGACCCTACACATTTTATGAATACAAAAGGGTCACTAACAGTTCAATCCGTTCTTTAATTCACATATTCCTCTTTAGGCTTTATCTTTATCTCAATAACTCGTTTACAATGTTTAACATATGCCTAAGAGTGCTTACAAGTGAAAGAGAACGGAAAACGAAACACAGAACGCATGAACAAAATTTCAGAAAACAGGGTCCCCGCTCGAGCGTGGACTTCCCCGCTCGAGCGGACACTATAGGCCTGCAAAAGTACTGGTTGCATGAAAATTACGCTCGAGCGTTAAATAGATCAAAATTCTGGGTTTCCCAGATTGTGTTCTTGAGCTTCAAATCGGTTTTTCATCTACATTTCTTGCATGCAATGGCTCAAATTACACATTTACACATGCTAACATGCTACTAATACAAGATTACAACATCAGGAAGCTCAATTTCATGATTTATCTATATGCATGTCCCGAAATATCTTAAACCCATCATCAACATGCTCAAATTCAAACATTCAAGACTTATACTCCCATGATTTGTACATGCATGTGGGAGATGCTCATCATTCTCAACTTAGATGGTACAAATGGTGATTACAACATGAGCTTTACCCAAAACTCTACATAAATCATGTGTTTCAAGCTCAAACATGCAGATTCAAAGTAATTTCTTACATGCATGAGTTCCAAGACTTCAAACTCAACAAAAATCAACTTATTACATGCTCTTTAACATTCTTTCAACTTTGAACTTACAAATTACAAACAAGAGTCCATGAATTCACTTACCTAAGAGCTTCAACCCTCAAACTCTAGCCAAATCTTGAGCTAGATCTTCAAATTCCCAAGTCTTGAGCCCAAATTACACAAGTCTCTCCCTTTCTCTCTCTACAACCGGCCCTCTCTTCTCTTCCTTGAGTTTAATATCAGTCAAAATGAGGCTAGGGAGGGAGAGATGGAGTGTTTAAAGCTTGACAACAAAATCTACTAAAGCCAAGATTATAATAATAAAGTAGTTGGGCTCTAATTCATCAATTTAATCGGTTTAATCTAACTCGAATCAATTTTCAATTAAATTTCACCGTAGGCTCTAAAAATTATGCCAATCACAACGGCGTAGTCGATTTCAGGTTCTGTGGCCGGTAAGGCCTCCAATTTAATTTTCGAAGCGGTAAAATCAAACAGATATTCCTACGGTGAACAGATAGAAATTCAAAACCACATATTTTCACATAATGACATACAAAACCATGCTAAACACATAACCATAAACAACTTAAGGACCAATTAGCATAATACAGAACAGGGATGTCACATTGATTGTTCCTCACCCCTTCATACTTTGCTAGCATTTGTGTCATTCTTTCTAGCTATGAAGCACGGGTATATGTTGTAGTGAAGTTTGTTGAGGTTTTATTATCTTTGTTCGGTAGTGCTGTTTCATAGTGACATAATTTTTCTTTGTTCCCAGAAACATTTGAAGTAGCTAAAACAATATCGATGGGGCCATCATTGAAAAGTGGATCAAAAGTTCACGAACCAGACGAGCACCCTCCCCAACATATTTCTTAACAAGTTCACGAAGCTAAATTGTACAAGACTACTTCGCAGTATGAGCATTTTTGGGAGGATTAAATATTTTTGGATGGATGTGTATGGATAACAAATATTAGTAGTTTTATTTGTTGATAGCTGCGCATGGATAACAAATAGTTATGTTTCAAATTGTTATGCTAGATGGATGTGACTTGCGAATGAAAATTTATAATAGTTGTATTGTGTCAAATGTTAATGAATTATGTATTGTGTCGAATGTTAATGATTCAGTTAATTTGAATGATGCTTTAAAATTATAGGTTTATTATGGATTGAATGAATTATTAGGAATTACAGGTGTATTGTTTTCTTGCTTTGGCGACCAATTTATTAGTCGCGACATCCAAAATAATTTTTTTCGCAAAAAACGACAATTGCCGACCAAGAGTTTTGATCGCAAAAAATACATCTATTGCCGACCAAAATAGCTCTTGGTCGTGGAAATTCACTTTTGCCGACCAAAAGTTTAACAAATGGCGACCAAATTTTTTGGTTGTGGAATGTCACAATTGGCGACCAAACTTTTTGGTCGTTGAATGTGATAATTGGCGACCAAACTTTTTGGTCGCGAAATGTGTCAATTGGCGACTAAGATATTTGGTCGGGAAAATATCACTTTTCGCGACTAAAGTATTTTAGCGACAAAATGAATTAATCGCGGTAATTAAATATTTAGCGACCAAAAATTTAGTTGGCAAATCCAACTTTTGCTGACCAACAAAAATTTTGGTCGCGAATTACTTTTGCTGACCCTTAATTGGCGACCAAAGTAGCGACCAAAAAAATTGATCGCGGATAACTTTTGCCGATCAAAAATAGACTTTTAGCAACCAATTTTTTTGTTGCCAAAAGTGTTAATTCTTGTAATGTCTGCTGGAAGAGAGAATTGAGCCAAGAGGGAGAGAAAGGCCGAGAGAGAGAGAGAGAGAGAGAGAGAGAGAGAGAGAAAGAGAGAGAGAGAGCTTTGTGTTGATGGGCTTGAAGGAAATTGAAGAAATTGAAGACAAAGGAGGAAACTCAAAGCTTGATTAAGAGATTCAACAAATTGAAGATTTTAGGTAAGGAATTAAAGTTTAAATTTTGTAGATAAATTACCTGAAAGCTAAAATTGAGAGATAATTGAGTTCAATTTCATGTAATTAAAAAGGGAATTAGCAAGATGATGAAGAAATGGAGTCATGTTCAATTTATGAAAATTAATTTAGAAATCAATTATGTTGAGTTTGGTTTTTGTAGTCTTACATGAATTTGAGTTCCATTTATACATGCATGGACAAATTTTGTAAGTTTTAATACTCTAATGATGCATGCATCATAGATTTTGAAGAATTCGAATTAATTCAATCTCATATTTTGAAGAGAAAAAGGAAAAACTTTGAAAATTAGGAATTTATTTGATTTGATCTTTAATCCATGTATGTAAGTTAATTTAAAAGTTTTATTCAATTTAAACACATTTTAGAACATCTATGATTATAAATTGAGTTTTTGGTTAAAGACTGAGTTAAGTTGAAATTCTAAGGAATTGATTTTGTAATTTATTAGTTAAGTTTGATTTTGTTATTAATAATGAAATTGGATTCTATTTTTATATACATCATGAAATTTTCAAGGGTCTGGAAAGTCTAATTCATATTTTAAAATTGTGGATTTGATATAAAGAAAATGAGTTAAATCTAAATATGGACAATTGGACCATGGTTTTGAATAAATGATTTCTAATTGAGAGTGTTTACTAAATTATACAATAGTTCTCCATAGTTTTGTACAAAAAACACAAGTTTTGAGGCTTTGAATATCAACCTTGAACTTCAAATACAATTCTGAAAATTCCAGAATTCATATTGTCTGCTCGAGCTAGGAAAGTCTCGCTCGAGCGTCAAAATCAAGCTCCCAGAAGTTTTTCAAAATTTAACATTCCACTCGAGTGACCAAAGTGGCTCTCGAGTGAGGACCTTATTTCAGCAATTTTTTTGACTAACTCTTTTAAATGCATATTTGCTTCTTCAAGACATTCTAAATATTCCTAGGCATCAAATGGACTCACATAGTTATGAAATAAACTAGAAACACATCAAGAGAGTTGAATTGAAATGAAATGAATATTGAATGGTGCTTCTATTGTGTTTTGTTATGTGATTCGTTTAGGTGGGCGTCCGAGGCCTTGTATCAACGTAACCCACTGTGAGTAATAACCTTATAAAGATATGTTCAAATTATTTTTACTTTTGAAAATGTTATTGCTATCAAAACAGATATGTGATTGATTGAATGAATTCTTAAAATGATTTGATAATTGAAAGTATGGCTTGTTGAAAAGTATGTCTTTTAGTGAATGAAGTTCTGTTTTGAAACGATATTGTGGCATCCATTGAATATAGGCCCTTGCCTGGGGGTAACAATACCATGGCTATAGGCCCTTGCCTGGGAGTAACAATACCATGCCTATAGGCCCTTGCCCGGGGGTAATAGTACAATGGCTATAGGCCCTTGCTTGGAGGTAATAGTACCATGGCTATAGGCCTTTGCCTGGGGATAGCAATACCATGGCTATAGGCCCTTGCCTGAGGGGTAATAGTACCATGGCTATAGGCCCTTGCCTGGGGGTAACAATACTGTCACGACCCAAACCCGCCCCTAAGGGTTTAGCATCGTAACCGACCAATAATCCGTGATTATCAAAGGCCTGCTTAACAGTAATGACAATAATACAATAAAAAGGGACTGGCGGAAGCCAATCAGTAATAAAAAGATGTCCAATGAGCTGTAAAAACCTGAATAGAAAAAGACTCTTATGGACATAACCACATTTATAGCCATATATAGATACACAGTAGCATACAGGTTAGGGACCTAATCCCTTCACTATAACTGCACAATCAAGTCTTAATCATTCATTGCATTAACAGAGACAAAAAGGGTGAATCTGAAACACCCCAAAACAACCTTGACTCGTGCAGGTTCGGAACCTCGATATGAGGCGCGATAGTTCGCTTGACAACACATGAGTCTAAGTCGGCGTCTCTAGCTCTGGTTTGGTGCTTGGCCACCTACATATATGTAAACTGTGAGCTAAAGCCCAGTGAATAACAAATGTGTAAGAAGTTAAGAATGAATGTCCTTTCAGTAATTAAAACAATCAATGCATTTGTAGAGCAGTTATTTGATCAGTGTCTTATATTTCATATCATATCAGTCATTTAAAAATCATAGCAATCATACGTGGTACATCTAATATCAAAACAGTACAGTAGGTCTAAATAAACCGAATGATCAGTTGATGGCCATCAATACAGTAACAGTAGTTCCAAGGATAGGAACTGACAGAGATCTCTGTAAACAGTGGCAGTAACAGTAACAGTAACAATCAGTTGCTATGGATACAGCGAGTACAGTTCATAAAATAGGACAAACATTCTTTCAGTAAAAAATATCATTTTAGAAAGCACTCATTCAGAAAATAATTATAATTTAACATAACTTTACAACATTGTTACTTACAGATTACTGGGCTATAGGTAGGCTAATCAGCGTCCTTGGGTGCCAAACCTACACAATTACAGAATGAACACACACTAAATTACACACCTTGAATTAATAACTTAACCCCTTGCTTGTTTTGGTGTGTTTCTAAATCATTATCCTCATTATGATGCCTTAAACATGGCCTAGGAATGCCTAGGATGGAATGAGGATGCAAAAATGTACTTAAAAATATTTTTCAAAACTTGCTGAAAACAAGGGTCTCGCTTGAGCGTTGCTTCCTTCGCTCGAGCGGACATGCATAATGTACTTGGTCGCTCGAGCGTAGACTCCTTCACTCGAGCGATCTGCAAAAATGTGAAAAGTGCTGGATGTTGAAAATCTCCGCTCGATGCTCGTTCGAGCGTGAGACACAGTTCCTCGCTTGAGCGCAAGTCTTGTCGCTCGAGCGTGCTTCTGCACAGGCAAAAATTCTGAGAGCTTGCAATTTACGCTCAAGCCAGCATTCCGTCGCTCGAGTGAAAGTCTAAAAACAAAGGTAGTCGCTCGAGCGTGGAATCCCTTGCTCGAGCGAGGAAGCCAAATTCTGGGTTTTCCAGATTTTCACCCAAAGCTCAAACCATGGATTTAATACGCCAAAACTCATCCTTTTGGGCCAATTCTCTGGAAAATACTTAGAAACTCATAACACAACATGTTTTGAAGATCATTTCATAAAATTAAAGCCCAAAAGTGTGTCAATTATACCTAATTTCAACTAAAACTTTATGATTGATTCAAAGACATGACATGCATGAGTTCTCATGAACTCCAAAACTCTAAAGTATGATCAAATGCAAGATTCAACTAAAAAACATGGTGAATTTCTAAGGTACAACCATAATATGAACATGCATGTGGAAATTTTTATGAAAGCAAATCTCAAAGTTCAGTGATAAGGACATGCATGCATGGATTACTTCTCAAATCTACTCTTTAGGCTATTTCTTGACTTTAGTTCCTAATTTCCTTGAAATCATGCATTAGACAACTCTATTTCACAATTAAAAAGGGTGAATACCTACCTTAATCTTGAATTTCCAAGTGTAGTAGCTCAATTATGCAAATCTCCCTCAATTTCTTCTAAATCCCAAGCAATTCTCTTGTTGAATTCAACTTTCTTCCAACTCACTCTCTCTCTCACGTTTTGTTCAAGGAGGTGGAACATGAATGGTGTGTCAACATATATGAAATCAAACAAATGGCCTTGTAAAGGCCCACCAATAGCAAATGTGTAAATTACTCAAGCTAAAGTAATTTAGCATGATTTATTTTAATCTAATTGTTCTAAATCAAATTTCAATTAGACCTACCATAAAATCATATAATTCCTAATTAGCATATAACACAAGTCAATTTCCAAATCGGTCGTCGATAAGGCTTTCACTTCGCAACTCAAAATTAAAACATGAACAGATCATTCTATATCAAACAGATAGAAATGCAATTAAAAAACACACTTACATAAGCAATTTGGGATTTAATCTTAATCATTTACTCAGCATGCTTAATCATGAATTAATGCTAAACATAGGTCAGGGTTGTCACAAATACCATGGCTATAGGCTCTTGCCTGGGGGTAACAATACCATGGCTAGGCGCTTGCCTAGGGATAACAATACCATGGCTAGTATGATACGTCATCATTGGAATGATATTGTCACTTCATGGATATACCACGTAAAATTGACATTGAAAGATCTTGATGATGAAGTTGATGAATTAATGAAAATGCTATCGCATAATGGTTTTTATTATTACAAGGGATTGATGTGATGGCTAATCGAATTGTTTTGCCTATAGAAATGGATTGTTTCGGAAAATGAAATATATGTTTTGATAAGGGAATTGACATGGAAGATGTTTTATTATAAAGTTTGATAAAATATGGAAAATGCCTTAGTTTGAAAGTGGTTTAAGCTTCATTTCTAAATTGTAAGACATGTTTTTGTATTATCGTCAAACTTCATTCATTTAACCTCTTTATTCTGTTATTACTCGTTGGGCTTTAGCTCACTATTTATATGTATATGTAGGTGAGCAAACTAAGCAACAAGGATAGAGAAAGCCTCGGAGTCTACCCGCGTCACCCTTTTGAAGAGCTTCCGGAATAAAGCAAGTTAGACTCGGGTAGAGCCAAGAAAATCAGCCCCTAGCTTTGTCAGAGCTTTGAATCTTGCTGAGTCTTAAGTGTATATGTGTGTGAGATATATGAGATTTGTATATAAATTATTATTATTGTGTTTAAATGTTTTTAATTATTTTAGTCATCAGGTATGCACAAGCTCAATGGACATTGTTATTTTTGTTTTGCTTTTGCTTTAGGTCCTGATATGATTATAAATATTTTGAATTTTTGTCTTTGAGACCGAAAGTAATCTTGGATTACTGGCTGGTTATGACGTTAAACCTATAGGGCCGGGTTTGGGTCGTGACAATAAGATTGGTATAATCTCCCAATTTTGTGACATGATCTAAGTGTAACGCCTCAAAACAAATAACAATGACCCAACATATAATATCACTTACACTTGATCAATAACTCATATCTTCTATTTCATTCATAACCTTGATCATTACAAAAGATGACATCTGTAATAGAAATTCATAAATCCTAGATTTTGAATCAATAGCATATGACAGGGGTACATAAATTAAGGTAAAAGTAAAACCAAATAATTATATGCCCTAATGGCTACAATTTTCCAAGTCGATTCTTGGGTACAACAAAATGAGTTTTAACTCAATACAGGTAAAACCTGAGGCTTAAACAAAAATGAAGCCCTAAGCTCCAAGTCCTCCCAAGCTACGTCCTTGGTGGAAGCATATGATCAGCACCTGAAAGTTATTTTTTACATAGGGTGAGCCAAAGTCAAGTAGCGATACTCTAACACAATATATGAATGTTAGCAAAATTATAAGGTGAATGCACATGCATGCCATTTGCCAAACATTCCTCGTTTTTCATCTTAAAACAATGCAATGCCAAATTTTAAATCACTTCATGAAGATAATCATTTTATAACAAAAAAAAAAAAGATAGTGGATACAAAACACTGGGAATCTCTAGGTGTCTGTCAGTAGGCTATATAAGCATTACCAAAGCCATTTTACCGGTACTAATTGAAAGGATCGACACCTAACCGCGCGGGTTCCTGAATTTTCACTAAAGACACACATGCCAACATTATAACCACAATCGCACTCTCTAACCAGATTCACCAAGGTATTTACCTATTTTTTTCTCAAAATCAATACATATACAATGTTTAATAAAAAATGACGCTCAATACACAATGTGTGAGAAATTGGTTTTAATTTAACCTAATCCTCATGCAATGTCTACAACAATCAAGATTATCCTCCGCCGATAACCCCAAAATAGATATTTCTATTCGACAATTAATTTCCAATCAAAAGATATAATTTCATCATTTATAATGGGGGTGATATTACATATCCAACTCCACCATCATCATCAACATATAAGTATTATTCCAATCTTAGAAAACCCAACATCATTTTCCATTACCTTTCACAAATCCTAATATTCAAAATTTAGAACAAAAACCTCATTTTCTTACAAAATTAATTTTTAGAAACGATATTCACTATTTTAACACATCTTAACCATAAATACATCCCCACAACCATTTTGAAGGACCCATTTGGAAAACCTCTCTTTTGATTTCCAAATCAAACCCTAGGTTTTTTTTCAAAAATTTCCAAATTATTAACCATTTTCAAAGAGCAAATAACTAAGCTAAAAATCCTATTAAAGGTAGTAGAAACCCCTACCTCTCAAAGTAGAAGACAAAAGGAAACAAGGGGTAGAATTTGGTGGAGCCAAAAACATTAACTTCTCTGATTAGAACGAAACCTTCGACGTGTTCTATCTTTTACTCCAAAGGACTAGGGTGAAGAAATTAACGGATTGAGAGTATTTGGAGCTAAAGTACAAGAACTAGAGAGAGAGTGAAGATCTAGGGCTTTTGAAATGTTATAGAGAGAGAGAAATGAAGAAGTGATTCGAAATGTCTTCTTCTTGGACTGAAATACGCATAGACTGCTCGAGCGCAATAATGATTGTTCGAGCGACAAATACAATAAGTGACATCGCTCGAGTGACCATTCCCCCCTCGCTCGCGCGCGCTCTCTATAACTTGTCAATAATGTACGTCTTATAAAAATGCAATCATTTCATTCCCTCTTCATTTTTCCTTTACATCACTTTGGTGTATGATGTTGGCCCTGTTTGGTAGAGCTGTGGAAAAGTCCTTATAGGTTATGCTTAAACAGCTTATAGCTTATAACTATGAACATAAGCTGATTTCTGACTTATAAATTAAACATTTCCTGCCCTACTCAAAGAATAAGCTGATTTCTGACTTCCAAAAAGCTATAAGTTTTAAGCTATAAGCTAAACCAAACACATCAAAATAGCTTAAATTAAGCTGAAAGCTAAAATAACCAGCTTTTAAGTTGCACCAAACAGGGCCGTTTTCTTTATGTAATCTTGATCTCTTTAGGAGGGGTATTCAAATTGGAGTTGTTTTGCCCCGAGGAATACCCAATGGCGGCTCCCAAGGTTTGCAATGATTATTCATATATTTTGACCTGTTTATCAATTCAAATTTATTATGTTATAATGGAGGTTTTTATGTACCTGTTTGTGGAAAGTTCAAGTAATGATATATGTATTTTTCAGTTGGTCTTTCGTTCTAGACACATCAAGATGATTTGCAGTATCTTATATATCAAAAATATTGGCATATGATTGCCATGCTTCAATTCCTTTTAATTATTGTATGAAAGATTGCCGAGAGATATTTTGCATTTTTTTTTTCCCATCATATTGGTTCTTTCTTTCTTTTTTTTCTTTCTTTCTTTTTTTTTCTTTTTCTTTTTCATTTTTAAAAAAGAAATTCACATGTTATTGAAGTCTGAATGTCAGATGGGACATTGCTGCCTGTTAACACCTGTTTATAACCTTTAGCTAAGAAAACACAAGTCCACTCATTTAGAGGAAAGAAAGAAGCCCAAGGCACTAGGGATCTTCTAATTCACTCTAGTGAGGCCAGGGATGTAATGGTGTGCCAGGGTCCAGGGCCACAGCCAATAATACTGCAGTTAGAGGTATGCGTGATGCGATTCGGGTGGTTTGAGAGTAAATTTACAAATTGAAGGGCGAATTGACGGATTAACGGATTGACAAATTGTGATTTAGGTGATTTTTGGCAGATTGAAGAATATTCTAACTAATTATCATACATTTGCATAATATATAACACTAATTTGTATAATATTTTTTAGCTATATAACACAAATTAATTTTATATAATATATTTCATATATATAACCACTAATTTGTAATAAATTTTATATCTTAAATCTCTCTCACACTCATTTTTACATTGATATTTCATTAGAGGTTAAAAAATATATATGTATTAACTATAACAAAGCTGAGCAGTTCAGTTAGCGAATTATAAATTTTAAAATTTAAACCGCGATTAGCGGTTAAAGCAGTACTGATAGATGCGAATCGGTGCAGTTTTAACGGATTTGGCGGTATTTTACACAGTCCTAACTGCAACTATACTGCTGGAGCTGCTTCTTGCAGACCTTTTATCATTCGCGTAGTTCACTTCAGCAGGTAAGTCTCAATGCGGCTCGATATGTTCTGGAGAATTTTTTCACACGGGTGTTGGAAAGAAAAAGCTAATTTGTTTCATGAGATAGAGATTGAAAAGACTATGGAAAGAGCACATAGAGAGAAGATAGATAGGGAGATAAAGAAGGGGATGCGAGAGAAGGTGAGGAGATAAGAAGATGAGAGACAAAAAAAGAAAAAAGAAAAAGATAGGAGAGAAAAATATGTGAAATTGGATATTAGAGAGAGAGAGAGAGAGCTCTGTGAATTAATTCTAAATTTTTCATCTTTTGAAATTAACTTTATTTTAAGGCATATATGTAGGCATCATAAATAAAACCCTAATGGCATGTTTGATTGGGTGGATTAGAGCATGAGATTAGGATTATTAATCCGTGGGCCCAATTATCCTATGTTTGTTTTAACATTTTGGTTTAGGATTATTAATCCAATGGATAATTAATCCAACAAATTTGTAGGATTATTAGTAATGGGGTAGGGGTGGTATTATTAATCCAATGGATATTAATCCAATTGGATAGTGAATACCACACTAATTTAATAGGATTATTAATACTTCACTATTAATTTTGTGAATCAAAAATGTTTGATTGGAGGGATTAAAGCATGGGATTGGGATTATTAATCCGTGGGCCCAATTATCCTATGTTTGTTTTGACATGTTGGTTTAGGATTATTAATCCAATGGATAATTAATCCAACAAATTTGTAGGATTATTAGTAATGGGGTAGGGGTGGGATAGTTAATACCACACTAATTTGATAGGATTATTAATACCTCACTATTAGTGTTGTGAATCAAACATGACCTAAAAACACAATCAACCTCCAAAGTGAATCCTACTGATGTGGAGTGTGCACATGGAGGTTTTATAATTTTGTGTGTAGTATTTGTTATTTTACTTATTTCCTTTTTAATTATAGTTTAATTATGAGATTTATTATAGTTAGCAATGCTTGGTTATCATTTTTCAAAAATACTTTTTAGAAAATTTTACTTTTTTATTTTTCGTATTTTTTTGTTTTTACTGAATTTTTTTAATATTTTGAGTAATTTTTTTAATTTTTAGACATACCTAACATAAATATACCTAAAAAGTAAAAAAAAAATTAAAAAAAACCTTTTAAAAATTCACTAAATACCAAAAATATATAAAAAAAACGAGAATTCAGTACATTTTTTATATTTTTATGTATTTATTAATTTTTAAAAATATTTTTTCACAAATTTTTTACTTTTTAGATACATCTAAGTAAGGTGTATCTAAAAAAGTAAAAAAAATGTTTGAAATTTTAAAAATATTCACTAAAAACAAAAAATACGAAAATAAAAAAACTCAAATTTCAAAAAACTCAAACCAAACACACTGATAATTTTGGTTTTGGTTTTCTATTTGGATTTAGTTTCGTATTCTGAATTAGAGTTTCTGTAGCCTATAAATGAAGGCTTTGGTATTGTAATATTCAACTGTGAAAAATTGAGTGTTTAAGGCTATGTGGACATTGTGTTAGGTCTATGGCCCTTGTTCGTCTTCTCTGCTCTCTTTCTTCCTCTTGATTCTACACCAATTTGGTATCAGAGCCAAATCGCAAAATAAAGCTTTGGCCCAACCCATTTAAACTTCAAACCCATTACCCTAACCCCCTAGATCCAATTAGCCTTTGATCCTATCTACCTTATAAACAATCTCACCCATCCCTATTGAGCCCCAAACCATTCATCCAGCCCATCTTCTAACAAAAGAAACCCAACCTAAATAACTCAGCCCAAACTCTTTTCTCTTTTCTCTTTTCTCCAGTTCAGACTCTAAAGTCATTACTTAAGTACAACAAAAAATAAGTCAATGTTGTAAGCAAGTGATAGATCAGTATGACCAAATGACAGCAAATTCGTCAAATGCAAACAAATTTGGATAAATTGTTAGACCAGATTCTAGGAGATGATTTATATATTCTTCAAAGTGCACATGATGATCATTTGGAATTTGTTGATCAATCATTCTAATGTCCGAGTAAAGTGAAATTATTTTGAAAGAAAATTTGAAAATTCGAAGTAGTCGCTCTCACGCAGACAATCATCCTATTGAAAGAAGAGCTTCTTGAACATCTGGAGACACTCAACCTGTTGGATGCTTTGGACGTGCCACCAATGGATTATTTTATCAAGATAGAGGATTGATTTTATTGGGATTGAAGCTTTTCTTTTGTTCAATCCATGTTTAGTGGACCTATCAATACCTTGAGAACATATGAAGCACAGGTACAGGTATGACTACTGGTACGATACGAGTATGTTAATACAGTAAAATTCGAAAAAAATAAGGTACGGGTACGACTTGGTACACTTGTAAAAAATATTTATTTTTAATTTAGAATAATGCAAAAAATAATTAAATGATTTAATTTATTCAGGTCCAACCTACAATTAACATTTAATGTCAAAAGGAAAATATAAATCAAAATTAAATGTCAATATATTAAATAACTTACAAATCATAGTTTAATTTTGAAATCATGTTAAGTATAAAACAAAGAATAAAAAAGAAGTTTAGTGAAAGGAGTTTTATCTCTGTAGTAGAAGAAAATATTGTTTCAATTGAGGTACGGAACGGCTTGAGTATATATTAGGTACGTCTAGATACGCAAAAAATTAAGAAAAAAATATTTGGGTACGTGTTTCATGTACCAGGTATATATGCAGAAATACCATATGAGATACCATACGCCGGTAAGTACCTGGTATGAGTACAACATGTTTTTTTGAAGTATCCATGCTTCATAGTTAAGAATTGAGATCAGTTGGCATATGAAGAGAATAAAGAAACTCGTATATTCAAAATAATTGATTCTCTGGTGTGGACGAGTTTAATATTTAGAACACTTGAGGACAAGTTTTTTTCCTCAACTGGGGAGAATGATACGGAACGTACACGGATGGAGATTTTATAATTTTGTTTTTAGTATTTGTTATTTTATTTATTTTCTTTTGAATTATAGTTTCATTATAAGTTTTATTTTTGGTTTGGAGTTTTATGAATATTTGTTTTCCTTTTATGTCTATTTTGAATTAAGGTTTCCATAAGCTATACATAAAGGCTTTGACATTATGTTGTTCAGCTTTTGAAAACTAGGCCAAGTTTGAGAAGATAAGAAAAAATTAAAAAGTCACAAAGTTAAAAAGTTACTCATAAAGTTAAAAAGTTAATACTATTCATCAAAAGTCAACAATTACGGCTGCACAACTCCCAATCTTAATTTTCCCCTACAAACTAATTTTTACAATTTTTTAATACACATTTTTCCATAAAAAGTCAAAAATTTAACTCAAACATCCATATTTTTTTTCCTCAATTTCTTAATCCAAAAAAATAAAAAGTACACTTATTTAAGACACCCCAAACAACCTCTCATGAAATGTTTAAGACTGTTGTTGTTGTGTTAGGGGTGTGGCCCTTGTTCTTCCTACACCACCTACCTAACATAGTAACCTAATATCACTAACATTCTATCACTTAATAAATGAAAATACAAGAAGATTATTTAATAAACTCCTAACAATACTTAAATAACTTAAACATATCAACATTATCATTATCATTATTATTATCTTCCTAACAATACTTAAACAACTTAAACATATCAATCAACATTATCATTATCACAATCTTTTTTGACATGTCAGTCAACCTGATTGCATCAATCCTCTCTTGTTGGAGAAAACTCAACCTCGAGTTTTGTTAATCTTCAATGTAGAGAAGGATTTTTTTTATATGAACTTTGTTTTTTCAAAATATCTTTTGCTCTATACCAAATTGATGTACAACGACCTCTCATGGCACTTTTTTTTCCATCAAACACTCTGTGGGGCAAATAAATATGTTGATTTGTTCTTTTAGCATGAGATAAAGATAGAAGAGATGAGAGATTGATGAATATACGGGTAGATAGAGAATATGGAGTGAAGATATAGGAGATGAAGAAGAGAGAGAAACCAAAAGAGAAAAAAAGCAACCAGATGAGGACAGAGAGAGAAAGAGAGAGAAGATGACAGGAGAGGGAGATTAAGACCTATATGTAGGCTTCTTAAAACCTTAAAAACATGTATTTAGTTATCCTATTAAATTTAAAACAAGATTATTTAATAGATCCTAATGATAATGTTTTCCATATTTTCGAGTGTTTATATTTTCGTGTGTTTGGTACAATAGAAAATGAACGTACAATGGAAAATGAAAGTTAACAAAAAATATTTTTCATGATCAATGGAAAACAAACATATTTGAGTAGAAAATGTTTTCTACTTTTAAATGGCAGAAAAGGTTTTCCAAAATAAAACCACTATTGCAATTGTCACCACCACCACACCACTATCACCACAACCACCGCCACCGCCATTATCACCGTTGCCATCGCCGCCGCCACCACCACCACCACCACCATCACCACCTTTGTTCCACCACTACCAAACATAGAAAAATGTTTTCTCCAAAAAATATTTTTTGGAAAAAATTTTCTACAGAAAATATTTTCCACCCAAACAAACAGGTCGTTAATAACTTGAACATAGCAATCAAAATCATCAATTTATCGTTATCTTCAGGATGTGTTATCTTGCAAGTCCCATATCAACTTGTTTGAATTATGTATCTTCAGGATGTGTTATCTTCATGTCATCCTCTCCTCTCAGGTCAACCTATATGGATGTCAAATGCGCTGAGGGATATTGACCATTAAGGTTGCACCCAATAATATTTTGGAGATTCAACTTTCCCAAGTATGAAATAGAGCCAATTTTTTATTTTTTATTTTTGGTAACAGGAAAAATCAATTCTTTCATTAAGTAGCGCTGTTAAAAAATTATGCCTGAGCAGCAGAGCCTATTTTCTCTGCAGACTCGTGTGACTTGTGGACATCTGAGAATTGTTGTGAGAAATCCTGTCTTCTTTTTTGGGGTGGATATATATATATATATATATCTCAACGTTGATTTTTTATCTTGATTTTAACTTCAGAATGCAGAGAAAAAGTTAGGTGGTTGTCCGAGTAGAACTCATGATTCACTTTCCCAGTCCACCTGAAACCAACGCGGCTTTAGTATTGTGATAGATCTTTATTGTCTTATATTATTATTTTCTGACAGGGTTTAGTACATGTAAACATGAATGTTCAGCTGCACCATGTTTTCATTTCCCAGTTGCTGTCTTTTCTTTTTTTCTTATGATGTTTAACCGCGGTCATGGTTGAGGAACTTATTTTCTTTTTATGTCAAGCATTAATCTGTCAAACATTAATCCTTTTTTCTATTGTAGTTGGGGAGAGCTTTTTTAGTATAAGTTTTGAATCTGCTTTATTTCATGCACTTTCTCCTTCATGTTGTGGTTGGTTGAGGGATTTAAGGAGGGATTTAGAAAGGAAAAGGGAAAAAATTTAGAAAGGAAAAGGGAAAAAGTATGTGAAACTAAGTGAAATGTTATTTTATTCACATTTCACCGAACTTTTCCATTTCCCGTTTCAAATCCCTCCTCAAATCCTCTAATCAGCATCAATGTATGCCTCCTTTTGTGTAGTTAAATATTTGGCAGATACTGAGCAATTTTTTTTCCTCGCTAATTATTTTTGGCTTTTCAATTTTGTGGTTTTACGTTGATCCCACTTTATTTCTGTTAATTGTTTTTCCACTTTACAGGTTCGCTTTCTGACCAAAATATACCATCCTAACATTGATAAGGCAAGTAGCATTCACTCTCTTTCATCCCTTCATGTCTCATTATTCTTGTTCTCAGATGGGAGGTCATTTTGCAGCTGGGTAGGATATGCCTGGATATTCTCAAAGATAAATGGAGCCCAGCCCTCCAGATACGGACTGTTTTGCTGAGGTCATATACTCGTCCTCCATTAGTGAAGCTATACATGTTTTATTTGCGTTGAAGTTGCTTTTGCTTTTCCTTAATATTGCGTTTGGTTAAGGGATTTAGAGAGAAAATTGGAAAGGAAAATGGAAAAGGTGCGTGAAATTAGATGAAATGTAAGTATATTTTATTCACATTTCACCTAACTTTTTCCTTTCTCTCTCCAAATCTCTCCTCAAATCTTCCAACCAAACACAGCGTAAATGTAATAAAGACTATTTCTGCTAAAACTTACAGTTTACAGGTATAATCTAATTCATATGGCATAAGCATACAAGTGAATATGATATTTTAATGGGTGCAGTTCTTGTGTCGTGGCCTGGAAGCAAAATTTGAAGTTTTGTTCACAAAATATTGCTTTTATTATTTCATGAATCATCCAAGCTCCCCTGAGTGCTCCAAATCCAGATGATCCTCTTTCTGAGAACATTGCAAAACATTGGAAGTCCAATGAAGCTGAAGCTGTTGAAACAGGTAATAATGCCCTCCATTCTTGTATTTGAGTTGTTGATTTTAATAGAGATGTTGGTCATCTTTTTTAATAGAGTGGCATCATATAGAGTAATGCTTTCTTTTCCCCCTCATAAAAAGGTTGATAAAAATTTACCCATCTCACATTTATAATTCTGCTTTTGTGAGGAATAATAATCAGTGGAAATAAAAGGATTCGGACATACCTTTTACGCTCAAAATGAATCCATGGATCATGTAGGTGAATCATGTGCCTCATTGATGTCTTCGAATAATTCATAGTAGTGGAGTAGAACTACTGCATTTCTATGGAGAGAGAAGAAAAATAGAGAAGACTCTAGGAGACTGATCAGATAAAGTTAAAATTAATTCTCACCATATAATACTTATATTATATGAAAGTATTATAACCACTCACAACTCTATTTGCCTCAACAGATGAGATAGTGGGTTAATCACATTTTTTCCCCAAGATAAGTTATTCCAAGTCTACTTTGACTAGGTCTTTCTTTATGGGTCTTAGGCCATGCCACCATGGGTGACTCAATCGGGTATGGGTTCTAAACCCAACCCAATTTCCAACAACATGTGATTCTCAACCATGAAAAAAAATACACTACAACCAAAGCACAACAATTACAATATCTCTCCATTATCTATTGCTTTTAACTTTTTATTTTTCATATATCAATTCAATTCTGATGTTGCTGCTAGACATCATGATGTCGTTACAACTCAAGTTTTTTCGATGTGGCGTTAATTGTTTGCTATCAATTAGCCATCATGATTTTTTCTAAGGGCTTAGTCTTAAGGGACAGGTCATGGGGATGGCAAGCATTTGGTATTTTGCAAGAGTAGGTAGACTAACTCTCTATGGTGCTAATCTACAGATTGACAACTAACTTTTTCCGATCAAAAAAAATAAAATAACCATGCTTTCATCTGTAGTACTAGCTTTTCTTCTACTCGTATTAAAAAAAAAACTATACCAACAAAACATGGTTTTTTTGCCCAAAAAACCAAAAACATATATATATATATATATATATATATATATTTTTCCATAAATAAAAAACCACACCAACACGAACACCTTGTCTCTTTAGATATTTTATTTGAAAGCTAAATAATTGTATAAATTTCATGCTAAAGATGTTTTCTACGGTTGCAAAGTTCACTTCAATGAGGATTTTAATGTCAATTGTTGCTTCATTAGATTTAGAATTATTTCAAATGAATGTTAAAACAACATTTTTAAATGGAGAATTAAAAGTAAAAAAATATATGGTTTGACCAGATTGTTATAAAGTTGAAGGCCAAGAAGATAAAGTGTACAAAGTTAAGAAATCATTTTATGGACTTTAACAATCATCTAGACAGTGATATTACACTTTCCATAATGCTATAACTATATACAGTTTTAAAGCAAATGAATATCATCATTGTGTGTATTATTAGAATAGTGGGAGTAATTTTAATATTTTCTCTTTGTATATAGATGATATTTTAATTGTTGGTAATAACATTGCATCAATTGAAGAGATTAAGAATTTTCTAAATAGTCAATTTGAAATGAAAGACATAGGTGAGGCATCTTTTGTATTAGGAATACAAACAATTAGAGATAGAAAATCAAAGACATTAAAATTATCTCAAAAACAATATTTTGAAAAAATTGTGAAAAGATTTACTATGGAAAGTTCAAATCCCATTAATTCACCTGTCCATAAGAAAACAATCTTATCAAGAAAAATGTGCCTAAAAGTGAAGAAAAACAAAATATGGAAAATAAGCTTTTTACTCAAGTTGTTGGAAGTATTATGTATGTAATGTTGTGTACTAGGTCTAACCTTAGTTATGCTATAAGTGTGGTTAAATTAATCCTGGAGATTGAGCAGCAGTTAAAAGAATTTTAAGATATATTCAAGGACACTACAAGAAAAAGCACCTTTGGCGACTAAATTTTTAGTCGCCAAAAGTCGACTTTTCACTTTTCCCGACTATATATTTTAGTCGCCGATTTTGTCGCGAATACATGGTCGCCGGAGGTATTGGCGACTAAAAATGTTTTAGTCGGCAAAAAACAGGTCTTCAGCGACCAAAGCTTTTGTCGCCAATAGTCAATTGCATTTTTGAAAATTATACATTTAGCGACTAATCGTTTAGTCGCCAATAGTTAATTTTTTTTTTTTATTTATACATTTGCCGACTAAGCTTTTCGTCGCCAATAGTCAATCTTTTGGCGACAACACATTTTAGTCGCCAAAAGCATATTTCAGGAAAAAAAAAAATTACGCTCTGCTGTTGCCAAGTTTCGAACCACCAACCTATAAATTATTTACTAAAAAAAAATTGAGGCCACTTTTGGCAACTAAATCCATTATTTAGTCGCCAATTCTATAATTTTGGACTACTAATTATTTTTTAGTTGCTAAAAAAATAAGTTCCGCCTAAAAATAACCAGTTTTGGTGACTAAACCTGTTTTTAGTCGCCAAAAACGTCCCCTTTTGGCTACTAAACTGAATTTTAGTCACCAATTATCTGTTTTTAGCTACTAATTTTTTTTTAGTAGCCAAAAAGCTTCACTTTCAGCGACCAAACTGTTTTTAGTCGCCAAAACACGTATAATCGGCGACCAAACTGTTTTTTAGTCGCCAAAACCGTCACTTTTGGCTACTAAATTATTTTAGTCGCCAAAAACCGTCACTTTTGGCTACTAAAAAACTTTTAGTCGCTAAAACCCATATAATCGGCGACTAAATTGATTTTTAGTCGCCAATAACTATACATTTGGCTGCTAAATTGTTGTAATGTCACTGAAAGTGCTACTTTTAGCGACGAAATATTTTTTTTTAGTCGCCATTTGTGCTTTTTGTTGTAATGTCTATTTCCATATACCAGATTGTCTCTGTCTACACACTTAATGAACTTTATTTTTATTACAAATTTACCTTTAAATAAAATGACCAAAATAGACATCCACCTACACATTTAAACATCTAAGCTAGAGATCTCTGTACACAATTTCTTATTTTATGCTCTATTTTTTTTTTCTCCAACTTTCGGTATTATATGTGAAATAATGATTCTTTTATTTCATAGTTTTTTTCTTCTTTGCTCCGTTATTTCCATTTGTTCGATTCTTTCTCAGATATGTATACACAACACTCTTGAATGGACCCATGAAGTGAATAAGGTTTTTGAATCCTCAACCAAGACTTCAAGAGAAAACCCAGATCAATTTTTTAGGGTTTTCATGCCAGTAATCATTCAGAAGTCAACCAACCCAATCATCAACACACACAAACCTAGCAACTGGGTAATGATTGAAATCTAGTTGCTAGTATCTTCACTATAAACCATCCATTTTTGCAAGCAAACAAAGTCAAACAAACCCTTCTCTCAAAATGAAATTAAAAAATCAATGTGTTGGGTTTTACTAGAAAAGCAACAATCTGATCAGATTTCAAAGATTTCTCATCAATTGACCAAACTAGTCCTTTCAATTTACACTCCTACAAACAAAGAATCAATAAAGATATACAGAATCATATATAAGCTACCATATCAAATGATAAATTCAAAGAACTGAGAGCCTTCCCAAGCGTTAAACCCTACTAGGCATGGTGGAAGTTCAGAATTTACTCTTCTAGTTTTCAAACAGTGTGTGGAAAAGGGAAGGAAGGGTATTTGGTATGTGTATAATAATATTGAGTGAATGTTGTAATTATAATTTTTAGTGTGTACATTGAGAAAATTAATCAATATATAAATTAATAGGGATGTATATTGAGAAAAGATGTACTCTGAGTTATTTCAGTGGGTGGAAATAGAATTTCCCCAATTACTCTTAATTCACACCATTATTCATAATTTTTTAATTACAATTTTATCCTTCAATTAAATATCCGAATTACCGTCATCTCTATTCCATCCCCAGCGGCGGCGGGGGGAGGAGGTGCTTTGCGAGGAACGGAAGCAGAATCTTTGGGAATGCAACAACGCGTCGTCTCTTTCGGAATTGTGGCCATTGTAACAGGTTCACAAGCTTACCAAATCCACCATAGTAGTGAGTACAATCTACGAACATATAGCAATTCTCTCTGTGCGCCACCTTCTCTCTCTCCTCCACACCACACCCCAACCCTTCACACACTCACACTCTCTCTCTCTCTCTCTCTCTCTTATATATGCATCAACATATACGTATATGATATATATCTATATCAAAAACCAGAAAGGATTGAGATAAAATTAAAATTAGTGTTAGGTTAGTTGGAGAAGAAAAGGGTAATTTAGTATTACTTAAAAATTAGTGGTATATATTGAGATAAAATTAAAAGTTTTAATTTGCATATGGTGTGAACTGAGCAAGTGGTGTGTATTGAAAGGATTTGTGGTGTGTAAATAGAGGCACCTACCATTCGAATCACATAGCCCACACCACTATTGGGAACAAATTCTACCTATTTAGGAAATTAAAACCTTGATTATTAAAAATACCCTCTTTTATTTAAAAAAATGATTGCTTTAGCAATTACATTTTTAATGTAATTTTGAAAACAGGTTAAGAAAAGTGTCCTAATTATTTAAATAACTTTAAAAATAGATTTTTTTTTAAATTTTATTTTCGACAATAAAATCAATAAATAAAAGGGCAAAACCTATCGATCTTTTCATCTCTCTGGTTCGCTATCCTCAAAACAGAAAAAATGAACCCAAACAACATTCTTTAGTTTAAAAATAAATAAGTAAATTTAAAAATAAAAATAAAAAAGGCTAACCACAAAATAAAAAATAAAAAATCATAACTATTTCACACACGAATACAGATGATTGAATAAAAAAAAACTAGAACTAAGTCCCAAAAAAGTGTATTTAACATTCAAATGAAAATTAGGACCAATTATTATCTATTAAACCTTAATGCAGTGTTTGGTCGGGGGATTTGGGACTGGATTTGAAAAAGGAAATGGAAAAGATAGGTAAAATGTGAGTAAAATATGTATATATTTTACATAATTTCACACACCTTTTTCCTTTTCCTTTCTAAATCCTTCCCCAAATCCTCCAACCAAACACACCATAAAAGTCTAAACCAATTATGCTCTGCTCTCGCATCAAAATTCCTTTTGACTTTCAATACAAATAATGTATATCCATATTTACAAAATTAGTTTCCACGCAAGGCAAGACAGAACTGAATAATTTTACACTATAATAAACAAACCTAAAGCCTGTACTGATCCGTTCTATTGGCCCAGCTCAGCACAATTTACTGGAGATGCTTCATTTTTTTTTTTTATTATTTTTTTATTTTAGAAAGAGAAATGTTTTGTATCATCAACTTTTTTATTTCTATTTTGTATCAACGTTTACATAATCGATTAAAAGAGTAAAAAAAATAGTGATATATAACTGTTTTTATTTAAAAATATTTGTGCAAGAAAATAATTTAAAAAAACTAAAAACAAATAATTATTTAAAAATTAAAAAAGAGAGGGGTTATTTACTTGCACTTTACTATTATTTATTTCTTTATTTAAAAAAAAAGAAAAAAAACAGCATGAAACGAGCCAATCATGGGGGGACTGTTGTAAAAACACCACCACAGACAAGCATATTCTGTTCTGAAATCTCGCTCACCTCACGCACTCTCATAGGCCTTGTTTGGGAAGTGACTATTTTAGTTGGCTATTTTAATTTTTGACTATTTTAGTAGGTTAAAATTTTTGTGTTTGAGAACATGATTGGATTTTTTTGTGATTGGATGTGATGTTTGTGAGAGAAAAAGTGAAATGATTATGGGTTTGATGTGATATTTTGTCTTATTAGCTACCTGGGGGACTGTTGTAAAAACACCAGCAAAGACAAAGCATATTCTGCTCTGAAATCTCACTCACCTCACGCACTCTCAATAATAGTTTGTCTAACAACAACCATTGCAGTTTCTATCTATACGATTCGTCCAGTTGATTACCCCTCTCTCTCTCTCTCTCTCTCTCTAATAAGGTGCAATGGGGAGAAAAGTCGAAGAGTACTCACTACAGTCACCGCCGGTAGCACCAAAATCTCTCTCTCTCTCTCTCTCAATACGGTTCAATGGGAAGAAAAGTGGAAGAGTACTCACTACAGTCACCGCCGGTAGCACCAAAATCATCGTCGTTGAAGTCAGTTATCCTCATCCTCTCAGTCTCAGTGATCAAATTTGAGCCTCCAAAGTAGCCGCAACCGTGAGCTGCGGCTGCTGTGGCTGTGGCTGTGGCGGTGTCAGCGCTGTCATCCCCGGCGGCTCCCAGTGTCAAAAACTTGCGCCGCTTCCTGGACCTCGTTTTCTGTTTAAGCTTCGGTTTCGATGACTCAGCTTCAGCGTCGGTGTTGTGTACGACCAGATCGTAGTTCACCGAATTTAGGGTTTGGATGGAAGTGACGCAGCATTCTTGCCATTTGAGGTCCGCCAGGTCTTTGATCACCTCCTCCAGAGTCATATGCGCGCATGAAGACACGTTTTCTTCGTTTAGTGTTGAGCGACTCGGATCCATCAGCTCCATTGAGTTCACTGCATCGATCAGAACTTTCTGCGATTTCCATAACACAACAAAATTGCCAAAATTCAAAGCTGGATATTGGACTCACAAACGAAGATAAATGTTCCGATTAATTCCTTGTTTCTCTCACCTTTGCAGTTTTGTGGATTTTCTTGAATCCGTGCATGTCGATGATCTGTGAACACAACACACAGCATCATATATCAAAATCAAAATCAAAATCAAAAATAAATAATAAAAGAAACCCCAAGTATTGAGCAGAAATGCAATTACAACTAGTTTCACATGTAAACATAAATTTCAGAACATGAAACTTCATGTTTCGGATCATCTACCATGTATATCATCAAGAAAACAAGACTAAAACTTACCCGAATCCATCAATGAACGGTTAAACGGAAGCGTCTGATTGTCAATAAAACCTTTGATATTGACTTTGTTAGAGCCTTCTAATCCTTTCCCTTTGGTGCCTTATGTTTCTCCTTGAGAGGATTTACAAAACAAACCTGAATCCACTTGGGAAGGAATAGGGACCATAACATTTTAAATGTTGTAATTGGTTTTCAAAACTGAAAGGTAATGAAAACCAATAAATTAACCATTATTGGTTTTAAAACTGAAATGTAATGAAAACCAATGAATTAACCATTATTGGTTTTAAAACTGAAAACCAACTTTAACCAAT